CTGGGGATCGAACCCCCGACTTTTCAGTTGAGAGACGACCAGCTCTACCACTGAGCCGCAGCCGCCCCTCAGTGGCGTTATGGCGATGCATGTTACTGTATGCTGTTACGTTAAGCCGACATGTCACAGTAAAGGTCACGCTTACAGATAATCTGCTTCCAGCTGAAATATGTCATCACTCTGACATACACACACATGACATGTATGTGCTGCGGTTATGTCACCGACCGGGTTCTGTAAAGATCAAACTAGGAGTGTCACCGTTTGTAAGCTTCGGTCAAAAGGTATTGAGACGACGGCAGCAGGAGTAGAAGTCCTGGGCTCCAAACAGCTGATTTAACACACATTAACTTTATGGAAAGATTAGTGATGATAATCAAAGAATGAATGAAGAAGCGTCAGAGCGTCCTTTATCTTCATCCTGCGTATCGTTCTTTATTTCACTCGGCTCTCTCTCTCTCTCTCTCTCTCTCTCTCTCTAAACGGAGCAGCTCTCTGTGTGTGTGTTCGATCCCACCGGGCGCCGCATTAATTCCATTACATAACATTTACTCAGTCTTAAGTAGACTACAAGTTGAAAAAGAAGGCTTCTCAGTCACCGGGAGCTTAACGGTTTCCAACACCTCAGGAGGAATCATGAGGTGATTAAAAAAGGAACTATTAAGTAATCTTTAATAAACAGAAGTATTCAGCTCCAGCCCGACCACAGAGGACGGATATGAGACTTTATCGGACACAGCAGTTTAGAATGAGATGGATTACAAAGCAGAACGCTCCCCATGGACGGAGGCTGTAGTCCTCCAAGTGGACAACCCGGGTTCAAGTCCAGCCTGTGGCTCCTTTCCCACTTTTCCTATGTTTTGATGCACTTCGTCTCTGAGTCAGAATGCAAGACTTTGAAAAACATCACATTAAGTCATTGAAAAGTCGTTCTGAAGATGATTAAATAATCTTTTTACGTCATGGCTTTGGAATATTAAAACCGTTTAATCAGCTGTTATTGACTGAACTAAAAGGCCGTCAGCGTTTCAGCAGAACGAGCTGAGAGTTTGTCTCAGTCAGGTGAAAACCTCCTGATTCTTATTGGAGCTGTGTGTTTGTTTTGAGGGCATTTTAAAACTCTGTTAGAAGTCTGTTGTCCTCGGTGAACCCTTCAAGAAGTCTCCAGTTGATCATATCTGGTCAGCACGTTTGGTTTTAAGTCACATTGTTTGATTTTTATAATGGAGAAAAATGGCTGTAATAAATCTGCTGTACAGCTTTGACTTTACTACTTTGTCTGAGGACCATCGTGGGAAATATGTAGCGCTCCACTCCTCACATTGAGCTCTTTTATTGCCACAGATCTTAATTCTCTGTTGTTTTGTTGTTGTAAATCTGCAAGTTCAAGGGAACATACTAATTGACTGTTGTTTCCCCTTAATCTCTGCAAATCTGTGTGATCGGTGGCGTTGATTGACGGGGATTCTGTTGGTTAGTTTATACCGATTAAGAGGCTATCAAAGAGTTGTTTAGATGTTCGAGAGATGGAGAAGTAGCCCTGACTGTACAAATGTGTGATCGCACCTTTTCATGCGTCTGTAGTCATGCTTACAGAGATTTGTCGTGGAGCTGTGTCATGGTCGCTTCTGCAGGAAACGACCTCTAAACCCAGCCAGTGTGAAGTCCTGTTTGTAACAATAGAGAAATAAAGGAAGTACAGGCGCTAAGCTTGGTAGTTTGATTTAATGCAAAGTGTAATATCAGAATCATTCTGTGCAAAAAAACATGCAGAAAGGCAGAGAAAGAGGACGATTAGCGGCGGGTTCATCTGCATAAAATGAAAGAAAAGTAATCTCCTTCTTACATTTTCACCTCAGAGTGTAATAAGCAGACATCCCTCTGCAGAATCACTTTTTTTTTAATGGCTGCTCTGCTGTCTCCTCTGTGATGGTAAGAAGTCTATAACCCTAATATTCAAGCTTTTATGGAGCTACTCAGCGTGTGTGTGCAGTATTTATCTCTTTGTGCAGGCTGGAAGAAGTAGGCGAAGGTGGAGTGTTTGAACGGAGTAATGATCGCCGAGTCGGGTGGAGGAGAGGAATGAAGGTTGGAGTGTAATGCCCATTAACATTCCCAGATGAGGATTAGCAGTCACAAGTTCTCTTCCCCGTTCATGACCTGGCCTGGATTGTGAATGCCTCCACTTCCTCCAGGATCCTTTTAAATTCTCCACCACACTCCGGGTCCTGGACTGGAACAAATCCTCCTCATCACGCGTGTCCTGCAAATACATAGAAATATGCTCGGGTGTTTGCAGAGAGAGCTGGATTTGTTTTATACGGTCTGCACTGATGTGATGAAGACGGTGTTTGAGGCTCCTGCAGGTTGTGAAATGTCTGGCTCTTACGTGATCGCGGCTTCTGTTCTTCTGTGCTTAAAGTCTGGTTTGAGAAGTAAGAATCTCCTTCTCAAACGAGCAGGATGTTAGAGGTTATAAAGTGAACATTTCATAAGCATCACAGTGTTATTTTCAGGATGTCAAAATGTGTGAAACAGCTTTAAAGCCTGATAGACAAACACTCCCTCTCCTCTGACCACATATCCTGCAGACATTGATTAGTTATACAACAAACGTGTGAAGTACCTGCATGATGTCTGTTGTGCAAGAGACAGGTGAGGCTGTTACTGGAGTCTGAGTCACTTAAAAAGTCAGTTTTTGTTTTGAGTCAGAGGCAGAAAATCAGTCATGCTTTAAATCCCTGTTTTGACCTCGAACTTTCCACAGAGAGTGTTTTTGGAGCAGCGCTGCCAGGTGATGTCACACGGCAGGATCACTATCAGACCTGTGTGTGTGTGTGTGTGTGTGTGTGTTTAATGCATGTTGAGTTGAAAAACATTGTGGTCTGAGTCTTGATTTATCTTGCATGTCGACATCTTGTATAAAACAGGACAGCGGCTGAGGATATTATGAGTTATCAATAAATCTTAATTACAATAAAGGAAACGACGACATGCTGAAGATGGTGAGTTTGTCTGACCTTTGACCCATCACGTTTCAAGCAGTGTTGGCGTCACTGCCGCTTAGATAGCCTTCAGTTCTTCATCGGAGCCTTAAAAATACTGAAGCAAGAAATGACTCGAAAGTGTTCCCCGACCTTAATGTCGTTCTTGAAATAAAAGCAGCACATGGTACACAACAAGTATGCAGGGTCTATAAACTACTGATCTTATTGAAATGGTGCCACCATAACTGATCATTTGTGTGTTTGTGTGTGTGTTGTTGTTGTTGTTGTTTACAGGTCCCAAGGCGAGTGTGTGTCCATCATGCCGCTGTTTGGTAAATCCCACAAGAGTCCAGCGGACATCGTCAGGACTCTGAAGGAAAACCTGGCCATCCTGGTCAAACAGGACAAGAAGACAGACAAGGTAGAGCAAGACACTGTGTCCCTGTGTGTCCCTGTGTGTCCCTGTGTATGTGTGTGTGTGTGTTTGTGTGCATACCTGTGTGTCCAGGGGCCCAGGGGTGACAGGACTCTGTGAAATGGGATCAAGGAACAGCCTGGCCTCGGTCGTTTCCTGACACTTCTCTGTCAGGACACATCACGCTCTCTCACAGTTCAGGATACAGTCACATTTTGTTTGGTTTTAGATGCATATTTATTTATTTATTTACCTGATTGTTCCTCGACTTCTCCCCCGCGTGTCCTGCAGGCGTCTGAGGAGGTGTCCAAGTGTTTGGTGTCCATGAAGGAGATCCTGTACGGCAGCAACGACAAGGAGCCTCACACTGAGACGGTGGCTCAGCTGGCTCAGGAGCTCTACAACAGCGGCCTGCTCATGTCACTGGTAGAAAACCTGCAGGTCATAGACTTCGAGGTGAGGAGTCCAGGGTCACAGGGGTCACAGGGGTGTAGGTTTCTGGATCTGAAACAGTTTGATTAGAGGATTCATTTTACTGACAATTTGAACGCACAAATCTTAAGAGAAATTATGTCATACATCACACATTTTAGAGACGTGAAGTATTGGAGGATACTGCAAGAAAGGTCATGAGAGGAAGGAAAAATTTGTGTATTTTTTATGTGAAAAAATACCTTGTTTAATATTGTGTGTGTGTGTGTGTGTTCAGGGGAAGAAGGACGTGTGTCAGATCTTTAACAACATCCTGAGGAGGCAGATCGGCACGAGGAGTCCAACTGTTGAATATTTCTGTTCCCACCAAGAAGTCCTCTTTATCCTGCTCAAAGGGTGAGAAAGAGACACACACACACACACACACACACACACACACACACACACACACACACACACAGGATGAAAACACACTGATGATGGTTTCCCTCTCGTGTGAAGGTACGAGACCCCTCAGGTAGCGTTGAATTGTGGGATCATGCTGAGGGAGTGCATCCGCCACGAGCCGCTCGCCAAGATCGTCCTCCACTCGGATCGCTTCAACAGTTTCTTCAGCTACGTGGAGATGTCCACCTTCGACATCGCGTCCGACGCCTTCGCCACCTTCAAGGTACCTGGGAGTTTTGAGTTTTGAGTTTTGGTCACGGCTGCTAAGTTGTTGTTCACTAATGTTCTTCGTTTTTTATTCACAGGATCTCCTGACGAGACACAAAGTGCTGGTGGCCGAATACCTCGAACAGAACTACGACGCTGTGAGTGATTCTTCCATTTCCCGACAAAGTCTGACAACACATGACGGATGACCTCACACATCACGCAGCATCAGCCAATCAGAGCCGTTTAGAGTCCCAAACGTAAACAGGGCTGACCAGGAGGAAACCCCAGAGAGCAAACACACAAAGATACACAACCAGATCAGGTGTCGCTCACTGCAGAGCTCAATGGCCCAGTCACAAATCCCCCGCCCCCTGCCCCCCCCCCACTCAAAAAAAAAGGTGTGTGTCATCGAACACGCTGCGGTCACACACAGCTCTTAAAGAGACGATTCAAGAAGCAGGAAAACAGGGCAGATAAAATCAAGTTCCAGGAAAGTAAATCAGTGGAAAGACGTGTTAGTGTCACAACATGTCTACATACAAAGATCTGGTTTGTGCGGTCAGAATCCAGAGGGGGGGGGGGTCTCTTTCACCGGCAGAGCCCCCCCCCCCCCCAACGGGTCCCAGGCTTAAGAAACATCTCACACAAACCTGCCTTTTCACCCCGAGGTTAAATGTTGACAGATGTCAGGTCGTCGCTGTGAAGAAGCCCGTCAGCTCAATAGAGTCGATGTAATTCAGGAGCAGGAATACTGAATTTTGATTGGACTAGAGAGGCTTGTCCGTTTACATTCGCAGCAGCTTCATTTGGATTCATTTACAAATGCTTTGACCTCCCTCCTCAAACTGCTCTTTCTTTATGTGCTTGCAGGTGTTTGCAGACTACGAGAAGCTTCTGCACTCTGAGAACTACGTCACCAAGAGGCAGTCACTCAAGGTTGGAATCCTCTACAATCCATGATTCTCGGGTGGGTCGGGACCCAAAGCTGTTTTTTAGTGGGACGCAGATGTGTGCGGATAAGAAATTTAAGTCCATGCTGGGCTTTTCTTTGAACCGGATTCAGACTTGTGTCAGTAGTTAGTCTCCAGGCCAGCAGAGGGCGCTGTCACACCCTCACAGTTTAAACTTTTTTTTTTGTTATCTCTCCTGCAGCTTCTGGGCGAGCTGTTGTTGGATCGACATAACTTCACGGTGATGACGCGCTACATCAGCAAACCGGAGAATCTGAAGCTGATGATGAATCTGCTCAGAGACAAGAGTCCAAACATCCAGTTTGAGGCCTTCCACGTCTTCAAGGTAAAACACACTCCACCCAAACGTACGGCGAAGACATTAAAAAAAACAGTGTTGGATCAAGAAGTCAGTACCAACAGATGTAAAAAGGTTTGGCACATCTGGCTGAGAGGATATGAAAGTGGACAATTTTATCAGAATATTTTGGTGGATTAGAGAAACAAACATCAAGAAAGAATTCAGCAATGCTCTAGATGACAAAGCTGCTACATCACTTGAGTTTGCTCACACACAGTTTGGTCATTTTCAGTTATACAGTTTCACCACTAGATGTCACTGTTGCTGTTCAGCACTAGATTGTAGTTTATGTCCTGTGTTTACTGATTGGGCATCGATGAGGTTGTATATTTGTACACCATAAACCTTGAATCAGTAGGTCAATCCTCTCGTTTAGTATCTGTCATGATGATTAGAAACATCTGCTCTCCTGCCTTCCCCGTTCTCAGGTTTTTGTAGCAAACCCCAACAAGACGCAGCCCATCGTCGACATCCTGCTCAAGAACCAGACCAAACTAATCGACTTCCTGAGCGGCTTCCAGAAGGACCGCACGGACGACGAGCAGTTCAACGACGAGAAGACCTACCTAATCAAACAGATCAGGGATCTGAAGAAACCGGCGTCCTAGAGAAGCCCCCCTCCCTCCCTCCCTCCCTCCCTGACTTTTTATCGATAGGAAGATGTACGGTAGAAAAAAAACACCTTAACAATAATATTTAAAATCTTCAAGACGTTATTTGTCTTTCTTCTCTTCTTTGTTCATTTGTGCAGACGTAGTTCTCAATCACTGATCGTTTCTTTTGTAATGATTTCTCATGGATCTTTTTGTTTTTTAATCTGTAGCATGTCGTGCCACATCTCTGCTGTTGGAGGCAGCTGATTCGCTCAGTTCAGAGAACCAGCGTTTAACAAAAAACAAAAAAAATGCTTCAGATAAAATGGTTTAAAGGCTGTCTGACGAAACAGACCTGACCATATCTGTGATCTGTCACTCACAGGCTGCAGGAGATCATTCCTGCTTTGATTAAGTCGCTGCAAATCGGAAAAAAAAGTATAAAGAACAGCAGCTTATTATTATTTTTTTTAAACGTGCTCCTTGTGTACTTCATCAGTCAAAATGATGTAAAAACATTGAAGGTCAAACTAAAACACGCTCTCAGTGGTTACTCAAAGCTCAAAATCAGCCACGTTTTCTCTCTCGGGATACAGACATAAACGTGTGAGACAGAGATTTCAGATATAAACAGACGTGATCACTTCTTCTGAAGGTACGCCATCTGATCGGCTTCTTTCTAAGAAGAGGCCCCCAAGTGGGAAAATCAGGACCGATTCATTTGGTGTCAGACTTCCACAATGCCGATATTTTCTCTCACATTCGACCAAGAAAAGAAGTCAGAGTATGTCCTGCAGCTGACTTCAGAAACTCCTCTTCTCTGAATCAGCAGTCGGGTGAATTAGATGTCAGCATACAAGAAGAAGAGGAGTCAATCTGGATATAAGATGTACTTCCAGTTTTAGAATAACCCGTGTGTGCAGTTTGGATTGAGCTTTAGTAACGCTGAGATTCAACGTGTTTTTTTACAGAATCAGCTGTTAAATGAAGGGTTCTTCTTCTTCTTTGCGGTGTCGTTGAGCTGCTATTGGTACAGTCAGCTTCAATCTTTCACCTGGTTCTCATGGCTGGTGGCCGTTAGCACTTTCTGTATGATACAAAAATAAGGATTTTTTTGTTGTTGTTCAGCTGATCACTGTTTTTGCTCGATGGTGTTTTTTTTTAAATATCTAGATTCATCTCTTGTCATGTACAGTTTCTTCTTTGTTCACCCTGAAGTGAGTGCCATTTGTGAGTGAGAAGAGGAGACGCGTGTGAAGACGGCTGTTTGTGTTTCTCTCTGTTCTGTAACTCGTGTTTTACTCTGATGTGTCGGTGTTAGACAGGAAACAGTGAGACGTTTCAGAGGTGCCTTTTTCTTTGGTTCTCTTCTTTGTTTTTTGTATTCGCAGTCTCTTTTCTAGGGGGAGCTTAATTATGACCTTAATGAAAATATGCTCTGAAGGATAGAACATATTTGTTGTTGATTAAGCAGTGAACCTCTTAACTCGCTATATTTGAGTTACGCTGTCGAAGAAACATTTTTACACTTTTTTTTTTTTTTTGCCGTTGTTTACGGACACGAGTCACAGTTTCACTATGAGATTTGTCGCGGAAGTAGCGGAGAATACGAGCTATGAACTCATGAAGAAACAATGACTGCAGTCAGGCTGGATGGTGAAATGTAACTGTGAATGAAAAAAAAATCCACATGTAGTTCAAAGGGAAGTCTGGTATTTTAACCCTGGGCTCTGCAATGTGACCTTCCAGGTAATAAGCACCTGATTCAGATTCTGTCCACTGAAAGTTGTTTGAGTCCTGGTCAGGCTCAGGAGGAGACCTCTCTGTTAACGAGGAAGTTAATTATAAAAACCAGAAGCAGCTGTCACGTTTCTCTTCTCAAATCCACACTCCATTGACAAAAACATTCATTTTACAGAGCAGAACATTTGAGTTTCTGTTGGACTGCGGCCTCGATTGGTTTAAAAGTTTGTATTGTTGTCCCACTTTTGTGTTTTAAATGTTTAATTCAGATCCAATCCCCTACTGGTGGAATACAAATCAACACCCAAAACGACCCGAAGGAGGCGACGAATGATGAACAACTTGAGCGAGTTAAATTGCTGATTTTGTGAATGGAGTCTGGTGTGTTTGAAGAGCGTGATGGAACAGCTGTTTCCTCTCAAACGAAGAGGCCTCTCTCTGTCATCACTTGTTGAGCATGTCAGCGACAAAAACAACTTCTTGTACCAATTCGTCTTCAAATGATGTAAAAAAAAAAAACAACGAGGGATTTTGAAAGTACCTGACTTCCCTTTTTTTAGAGTACGATAAAATGTGCAGAATCAATCATGTCAAAGCACCATTATGATAGTGGTGTCGGTTTTATATTTGACTTCAAATTAAAAGAAGCTTCCATTTTCTAAAAATGTTGCACTTAAGTCTATAAAAATGTAGAATTTATCTCCCAATCAATATTTGATTCTGGTTTAATGAAACGATCCTCTCTGGGTTTCCATTCGGCTTTTCTTTTCACAGAGCGTTAAAGAAAAAACGTGAATAATTTCTTGTTTGGGTAAAAACTGTGACAGTATAAGGGCAGAAGTAACGTGTGGGGGGAAGACAGAGCGGCCAAACATCTTTGTTTCTGATTCAGCCAACACGTCTTTGCTGCGGCTGGACTTTAACTCTTCATCATCGTGGTCTCAGTTTCCCCTCTGAAAGCAGCAGCCACCACATCCTCTCCACAGTGATGCTATCAGTGTACCACATTCACCACAAATAAACGGATGGGAACGCACGCCTTGTGTGAGTGTGGTCATTTGTCGCATGTAGAACAATCACTGAGACCTCTTCTTTTTTTACATCTTTTATTTCATTTTGTGTATTTTTTATCTCGGCCCTGCCGCCTTTAAATGAACACTACAGCACATTCTGTTTTTTATTACAGAAACATTCGTACCTCAAATTGTGCAGATGGTTTCAAACATTAAACCTAAACACAGGATAGAAAATGTGATTCTGACGCGAGTTCCTGCTTTCTTTAAGATGCTGTAATTCAGCAGTGAAAATGAATCAGAAGTGAATAAGAGAATGAATTAGCTGCAGTGCAAATCATGTTTGTCGTGCTTACTTTCATTTAAAGAGGGGGCTAAAACATGATCTATACTCAAGAGATATCATCTTTTTTAGAAGTCTGGGATGCAAAAGAGTTATTGTTTTTTATGGTCCACATCAAGATTTAAAAGAACATTAAAATATAATTGAATAGTAAGAAAGATATTGTCACATGAAGCGCTTGTAGATTTAAAAAGTGCAGAGAGAGGCTGCAGTGTGCACAGCGTCTGCACCTTGTTTTTTAACCTGGAGTTACAAACGTAGAGAAAAGGTGACACAAACTCCCTGCATTCACGTGGTGACGGAATAAAAGAAAAAAAGAGTTTCAACGGGAATAATGTCTCAGAAATGTGGGAAAGAGAATCAGACAGTCGTCTCAGATTTATCACACACATTGGAGCGATGGAGGAGCTCAGGGATCGGTTCATACATGAAGTATAGATTAACGTCTTCACACAACTTAAACTATTCAACATTTACATTAAAAAAAAAAAAAAACACACTTAATATAACTCTTATATCCTATCTTAATCTATTCCAGTTTTTTTCCTGCATTTCTGATTGTGCAAAATCAACATGAGTTTATTACCTCTTCATTCATCCGTTATCTGGTTTTTCCTCCGAGGTCAGCGGGTTTCCCTCCCTCCACCTTACTGACAACAACTTCTTCAGAACTTGAAAAGAGAGAGAGCGTGGGATAAAAGCGTTTTAAATCGGGATTCTTTGATCTCCAACAGAGAAACTCCAGAGTCCATGCTGTGGATCTGTCGACGCCCACAGAGGTATAAATCCTAGAGATGCAGGAGCGTCAGTCATCCAAAAAAACCAAAAAAAACAATCCCACTTCTGCACAAAACATTAAATAAGTAACATGGTTTGGAACGGCATAGATTTGATCTTTAAGGAGGAAATCTTTTGATGTTCAGTTTGTCGGAGAGTCTTTGAGTCTGTTGGTGCAAAGCTTCTTGCTGCTGCAGCTCTCCGGCTCGGCCTCTCTGCTGTGCTTTCCGATGTGACCGTCTGCAACAAAAAGAAAACACAAGACATTAACTTATTTGTTCCCCCTGATTATTTGTTCAGGGGATGATGTTGACATAGCTGTTCAGTTCTACAGACAAAATGAGTCTACGGTGAGTAATGTCTGAAGCCAAAGAAGCTTTTCCTTTAACTCTACTGACTCCATCACATCCAGTTCTTTTAAAGAGATGTGCGGTTACATTACTGCACCAGATAGTTCAATAAGGTTTCTCAATTTCAAAGCAGCGGAAAAAAAAGAAATGAATAAAAGAACACAAAAGACAAAAGTTGAAACACTTCTGCAAGGTGAAATCAGAAGGAACGTACTGACGAGGCGAGCAGAAGACGAGGAGTAGAGTGACGGGCTCCTCTGCCACTGTGAAGACAGAAAGAGGTCAGATTCTCAAACTGTGTGCACGTCCCTTAAATGCACCGAAATAAAGAAAGCTGATGAGATGATTAAAGTGTTAAAGAATCTTCTAATCTACCATTCAAACCTTTTTTTTTTAAGAGCTTTAAATGTGCTCATAAAGAAATAACTTTAAACAGGGAGGAGAACCATGCAGCTCCTTCACTGGACTCACGATGAACTTGCTGACGTCCTTCAGGCTGCTGAACCTCAGGTAGGAGATGTCTCCCTTGTCTTTGTCTCTGTCCTGGTCGGTGGTGTAGATGTGTGTGACGCCGGCTCCTCTGATCAGCGGGACACACTCGTCACACGGACATTTAGTCACAAACAGCAAGGTGTGCTCGTCTGCTTTTATCTCTCGAGTCCTGGAAGCATCCGGAGGAACATTTAAAACAGTGGGACGGGAGGGGGGGGGGTGTGTGTGTGTGTGTTGTGAATTTGCGACGCTGTTTTTCACGTCTGAATGTGCTGACCTGAATGTGAGGGCGTTCTGCTCGGCGTGGATGATGTATCTGTATTTGCGTCTCTGCCGGTCCTCCTGCTTGTTGTCCATCTGCGGGTACTCTGCGTACTGAGAGCCTGCTGGGTACGCGTTGTACCCGCAACCAACGAGGTAGAGACGTCCCGTTCCATCACTGCCGGCCTGAAACAGAATAGAGGACAGATCGTTTTATGAAATCATCAGCTCACTTTAACCATAACATCGACTCTAGAGAGGAGGGAGGAGCGGGGGGGAGACAGCTCTCTCTAATGTTTTGAATTTAGACTGCAGTACATGTTTTTAAACACTAGGTGTCAGAGTTACATATTACTATTACCCTGTAGACCAGGGATGGGCGGCAAGGGCCACATTCAATTAATTCTCCCTGCCAAAGGGCCAAATTTTGAATCAATCAGTTATGAAAAAAATCAATTATGTCTCAAATTTAACTCAACAAATATTATTATGGACATATTTCTGGTTTTCATGATTTCATGGCAGATTTTGTCACATTTTCTTCATGTTTCCAATTCATTGATATGTAAAAATTGACCTGAGGGCCACATTGAGGGTTGGTGGGGGCCGCATGTTTTTTTCACCCCACAAAAAACAGCTTTATTAAATGAAGGGGATAGAAAGATGAGCTCACCGTCTGTCGTTTGGCCCAGATAACAGCGCCTACACCCACTTTATGGTCCTCTGGAATAAAAACAAACACAATGTTGCTTGTAAGAAACTTTGGGAAAGGGGGGGGGGGTGCTCAAATATAAGCAGGAACACTGTTAAAATAATTGTGATCTTTAAGATTATGATTCAGAAAATAATGTCTCATGAATACATGAATCAGTTGAAGAAGTCCGACCTGTTCTGCAAGCCAGAAGTCTGGCTTGGATGACACAGTGTCGCGCCTCTTCCTGGGACAGAAGAGGAGGTGCAGACTTTGACAGATCCGATGTTGGATGCTGCTCCCTGTCACACAGAAAACACATTCACATTCAAGGAGAGGGAGATTCCCTTCAGAAGAGATTAAAAGTGACGTGTGTGATTGTAACCTGTAGAAGCCGTAGTGTTGCGTTGGCACCCCTGCAGCCACCGCAGACAGGACCTCCACCAGCTCCCTCATGTTGTTTCTCAGGTTGGAGAAGTACGGCTCCACGCAGAAGTTTTCAAGGCCCATGTGGGTTAAGATCTCTCTGTGCTGCTGAGACGTCTCCACCAGGAAGAGCCGGGAGAAATCCTTCAGGTGTCTCAGCCGCTCTCTGGAAAACAGACAGAAAAAAATCAAACTACTTTTAACGATTCTGGTACTTTTGAAGAGTCTAAAAGTACCTGTTGTAGAGCTGGTGTGTGTCCTCCCCAGGTTCATCGTCCCTCACTCTCTCCATGAAGTCACACTCTCTGGACGTCTCGTCGATGAACTGAGCCAGGCCGGGAGCCAGCGGCTGCAGCAGCACGCAGACGTGAGGACGGCTGTTGGACTTCAGCTTCTCTGACGCCACGGCGTCCAGCGCAGCCTCCTCTGAGATGCCGCCAGGTGGATTGTGGGAGTTTGACCTCAGCATGCTGATTTCAGGGTCTCCTGGCCAGAAGGAGATCTGACTGACTCCAGCTACAGACGCACAAACACAAACACCTTTATTTCATGTCCCTCTTTCTATTCTGTGATGAAACAATAAACCTCATCGGGATAAAAAAACTACAGATGTTTAAAGTCAGCTCACTGTTGATGATCATCTTTAGGCAGGTAGCGCAGGGTCTCCTGGAGAAGTATAACTGACAGTCAGCGAGGCGGGGGCCATGTTGGATGATGGCAGACTGTCCCGCGTGGAGCTCCGGTCCTGAACAATGGAGTCCAACAACTTTACCGTCCGCACCACCGCCAGACCCAGCCTGCGGATCTGACACACACCAGATTCTAACTACAAGAGAAGACGCTTCACTTTAAGTCTTATGTGTAGAAATGTTTAAAACATGAACTTCATTCTGGATAAAATGAGTTTGTACAACAACCTGAGTCTGGTCGTCTTCTTCTTCAGCTTCCTCCTGTGGATAAAGCTCCATCCACAAGCTCAACAAGGTGAACAGGTTTACCTTTGACAGCCTCGGGCCATGACCTGTGATAGAGACAAAACGTCATCTTTTAGAAATACTTTTACTTGACTCTGACACACGAGGGCCGTAAACGCAGCGGTTCAAATCGGGAGAAAAGAAATCGAACTTGACTTTGCCGACAACACAGCAGAGCTTCTTCAGCTTCACAGAAACAACTTTAGCTGAGCTGGAAACTCTTCCTGTGTGGCAACATTTTCCCTTCCTTGTAAAACTTGATATAGTCTCACGAGAAACGTTGTAATTACTACGTTTCTGTGCATGAATCATCACACTGATTGAAACGGAGTTACTAACACATAAAGCAATCTGTCAACACCACTGAAGGAACTTCAGGGAGCGGGATGCTTGTGAGTGAGTGAGTGGATTTTAAATAGACATGGGAGGTTTTGTTTTTTAAATCTTACATGTTCTTCAATTATTAATCATCATCACCTTCAAAGCCCTTCACTACCTGGCTCCCCTCCCACCCGCACTCTCAGGTCTGCAGATGCAAACCTCCTGCCCCCCCCCCCTCCTCCTGCAGGACAAACCTTCGGTCCTGGAGGGGACAGGGTGTTCTCCATTGCAGCTCCCACCCTCTGGAACTCACTCCCTAAAAACATCAGAGACTCCCCCACACTCACTTCCTACAAGAAATCCCTCAAAACTCACCTCTTCAACACTTCCTACAACCACTAACTCCTTCCCTCCTACATTACTTCTTCATTGTACTGTCCCCGTCGTTTTTTGTTTTGTTTTTATGGTTTTATATTTTGTCAAAGTGTCTTTGAGTTCCTAGAAAAGCACTATAAAAAAACAATATATTATTATTACAGTTTTTCCTAGATGGTTGTTATTAAATGAATACAGCTTGTATTGATATCCTGTAAAAAGGAGGGTTACTTCCTACAGGATGTTTGATAATGTGCATTGCCCTCTGTAATCATGATAATAGATGCAGACATTAGAAACACGCAGCTTTTATATTAATAAATCATAAATCAGCTGTTCTCTTAATAAATCAGCTGTTTTATGGTTTTGACAGAACAGAAACCTACGCAGCTTCCCCATAACAACGTCACCACTACCTCCAGCTGGCTCACCTTGTGCTCTGCTGTCAGTCTGAGTACTGCTGTCACTCATATCCCGACCTGGCCTTGTTTGGCCCGGTTCGGCTCGGTATCGTCCCTCGGTTTCCTCCATTCAGGACACCCGTCTCCTCCAGGGGTCCACTAAAACCGGAACAACACTGGGAGGACAAGAGCTCAGCCAGAATTAACGTTAACCCGGTGAACACTGTCAAGCGGTCTAGGATTTTCGAAATAAAAGCACAACTGACATTTTTTTTTTTTCTCAAAACACTTTAATAAATAAAAACAATATATATTGAATAATGCTCTAAAAGTACATCCTGAAAAATATTTTTAGATAGTTGCGGATTTTTTTTTGCGATTAGCAGTCGTCAAAACAAACATAAAACGAATAAAACAGTTACTACTACACTTACATAATTTTAAAATTAAAGCGTGAAAACTACTCCAGATTATCACAAATAGTCTTTATGCTCTACATTCACTGTTTAAACTTCATCATTATAGGTGAAAAGTACTTACTTTTGTGACTAACACGGCTGACGGTCAGAAACTTAACGAATTTCCGGATTACTTCCGTAATAACATGTGACGTCACAAAATAAGGCGGAGCAACGGTGGACGGCAGCTGTAGTTTAATTAAACATATTAATTAAATAAAAACACAAAATTAAATGAAGAAAAAATAATAATTTTTAAAAAGTTTTTTATTTATTCACAGAAGAAAAAAAATGTCAGCCCATAACTAGTACAAAAACAAATTTGAAATAATATTTAACAGTTTGTTTAACAGCAAAAGAACAGTCATTGTAGTGCTGTTTACCTCATAGTTAACTTTTAGGCTATAAGCTGAGTTTATAAGAAATTACCTGCAGTTAAATAAGTTTCCTTTATAATAAAAGGGCTAACAAAGCACAATACAAATATATATTTTCATCCTCAAACAGGAAGCAAAACAACATTGTTTTCCCCAGTTTGCATTACACATGAAACAAAAGACAAACAGTAAACCTGCTCCTCATTCTGCCACAGAAACCCAAAATAAATGAATTAACAGTTTGTTTTCTGATCGAAATGAAACTGACCTCAGCAGTCAAATTGAAAACAAAACATCACACTTGTCTGTTGAAGTTATTATATTGCTTAAGCTCATTTCTGATGTAAGAACTGGATGAAGCTGCAGTTTCTTCAGCGTTTACAATGAAAAACAGGCTAAACCAGACATCTTTAATGAGTTTGTTAGAGCTTCCAGTGTTATCAGGGATATCAGGTCATTCCTGGATTATAAAGAGTCTGTAACATATCGCTACATCACCCACCTTAGATATATATCATAATGTTTACACCTGCATGGAAGGAGAGAAAGCAGCGGTATCAAATGTTTACTCTTAACTTAACACATCAGTTTTCTCCCACAGCATTGAAAATATTCTGACATATTGTTGTTTCACTGAGCAGAGAGAAGAAGACTTAGTTTCTTAAAGTGCCATAGAACAGAAGATTTAAATCAGGCAGAATGAATATTCCCAGAGCAGAGTATAAAAACACTAAATACATCCCACAATGTTTCTTTGACTGTAGAAATGTGCAGCTCACAACATGTAAGAGCTACTTTTGCCTGAAAACAAAGACCGCACACTAAAAATGACAGGAAGCATAAAGTGGTAGTATAATTCTAAGCATTGTAAGTGACTACTTAAGCTTATCTCTTTCATTTGTATAACTAAGACACAGATAGTTCATTAAAACACTTTGCTGTTTCTCAGTATTTCTCCTCCTGTGTTTACTTTCCCCAGATGTTAAGGAAGACCTGCTGGAACATGTAACTGCTGGCCGAGAAAACATAAAATTCAAGTATGCAGACAGCATGTAAAGGACGTCTGGAGAGGCGTCAGGAATCTGTCGAGTGACTCCACAGGAATTCACCAAAGTGCTTTTGTTCTGCAGATAACAGAGCTTCAGATCCAGCAGCATCTTGTGAGTGATGCTGCAGATTTTCTGACATGTGCCGCAGGAAAGGCTTAAATAATGTATTTTTTTTAATAAAGGGATGCTCTCTGAGGAATGTGATGAGAACGGCTACGTGTGGAGGAGTGCAAACACGTCCACTTCAGCGCGAGTGCAGTTTATAAAATCAGAAAAACGTGCGTGTACCGCTCAGTTCTTAAAGGCCCCGCAGCGGCTCGCTCGGCTGATGAACTCCTTCAGCATCCCTCCGTCCACCTGCCAGAAGGCTCCGGTCTGAGTCACCTGAGTCAGGTGGTTCACACAGAACCTGAAACAGAACACTTCCAGGTCCTAGAGAAATCAAACAAAAAACAATAAGAGGCAGAATAAGAGGCTACAAATAGGTTCTGTCAGCCCCGTGGTGCGCCCGGTCAGATGGCGCCTGACCCGCCAAGATCCCGCGGGGACAAAGAGATGTGATGTGTGTTATTGTACCTCTGCGTCGTATCGTATGGCAGCAGACAGCAGCGTGAAGGCGTTCTCCACAGTGATGCCTCTCTTGATGATCTGCTGACACAGACGTTTCAGTCGGTTTTCACAGTACGAGGTGGCCAAGTCCAACAGGCCTGCAGCCAAAACAAAGCCATTTAGCATAAGCACATCTCCATAAAGGTCTTAACTCATTAAACTAACGAGGGAACACTATCCCACGCTGCGTGTGCTAACCGATGGCGTCCTCGGGCGGAAGGTCGACTGTGTCCGTGTAGAGAAACTGCAGGAAGGATCTGTAGACGGGGTACGAGAACTGTCCGATCTCGATCACGTCCTGCTGATCCTCCGTCCACTGAGAGCGAAACATGGAGCGGAAGTGCTCACACCTATTTCAAATCAAGAACAGAATAAAGATAGTAAACATCGTGCGATGTCTGGGTAAGAAAAACACAAATCTTTTAAAAAGCAATGCTATCAATCACTTAGCATGATAACTTTTGATATATACCAGTGTCTCCTGTGCACGTGATGACATGTACCTGATCTTCAGCACGGCCTTATGAACGTGAATGCATTTGCCGTCGATGCTGAATTTAGGTCAGCTGTTTCCGGACTGTCGAACTCTTTCCTCAGAGCCTCGGTGACAGTCAGGAAGTCGTCATGCTCTGCAAACAAAACGCAACACAAACTCGTTACTTTAGATTCTTCACGTTTGATTTGAAATCAAATGCATTTTAATGGGTGCACACAGACCCATAGACGTGAGCCTCCACATGACGGAGGGCGTGGCAAAGCAGGCGAAGACGTCGTCCGTGCTGGTGAAGTGAGTGAGGTGTGGCGCGACGATGGACTGACCCCGACACTGACCCCACATGTACACCTAGAGGACGATTAATGTTACTACAATCCCAACTCAGACATGTTCATAACAGGTCCCTAGTCTGTCTACAAACCCCCCAAATCATGAGAAAAGTCCATCCTCTCCACTCTTTAGAAAATGTGTGATCAAACAGGCCGTTTGGAGATGTTCCCTTCATGACATCACAAAGGGCAGTAGCCCCTCCCCCAGGTGGGTGACACTCCCACAGCTAGGTGTTTGTTCTGAACCTCTGAGTCTGCCTTCTCACCGTAAACAATAGGACATGGAGCGAGAAAGACAGAGACACCCAAGCACCTTCCAGAGAGGGGGCGTGGTCAGACACAGCTCATTTACATATTTAAAGGTACAGACACAGAAACAGCCTGTTCTGAGCAGGGCTGAAATAGAGGGTTTATAGACATGATCAAATATAGGATCAGAGTGGATTTAGAACAAGAAACTTCACACATGTTTTGAGGAGCTCTGAGACTTATTTACACTATTTGACTTGTGAAACAAAGCAAACTGATCATTCAATTAAAATCCATTCAAGACTCTGAAGAAGCACACACAGAGTTATTGTAAATGAATGACATAAATACCTGCCCACTTTGGGTCTTGGCTGCTGAGGTGTGAGTTGAGTGGCATGCTGCGACCTCTACAATCCTGTTAGAGGATAGATGAATTAAAGAGTGTTTTGCACCCAGATGTTGAGGTACAGGAGGAAATGAGGACAGGAAAAAGGAAGTTTACGTCTCAACAGGATGGCCGGTCTGTTCTGTGTCTGAGCACGCTCTCCTACCTCTCTTTGTCAGTCATGATTTGCACGGGGCTGAGCTGGTTGCTCTTGTTGCCGGTTCCCAGTTGACCGTAGGTGTTTGCTCCCCAGGCGTACAGCAGACCCTCATCTGTTTGAGCCAGGCAGTGACCGTAACCGCATACGATCTGGAAAACAGGAAAGACTTGAGTCACGAGTGAATCCCACATTGGGACCTTTAAATGGAGGCAATCACATTGAGCTCAAACTATATCATCAGTGTCCGTTAAAGGGGAATCCTGGCTTTTTAATCTTGAGTCTTATTTTTGCACATTTTGGGTCAACAGGAACTAGAAGTTTAGAAATATCTGCAGTAGATATTTTTTTTGGCATCTGATGAATCAGCTAAAAAAAATGTTTTTTCCGCCGACAGGCTCAGATTGTTATTCTAAGGGTTCGGCAACATTACAGAAAATATCTTACTGAACTAGAGCGTGTTGTGAAGGATGAAGAGGCCGTTTGAAGAACAGAAACAGCCTTTATATTACCAGCCTCCACTGATAAAAACAGTTATTTTACCTTCCAAAACACGGGAGTGGCTGCTCTACAGCAGACTACACCGACTAGTTATTAGATGCATTTATATACAGAACAAATACAGGGTACAGTCACACAATAACACAAATAAACTGAATGATCCAGCCGGCAACTCCTTAGTTCTGACATCAATGACCATTTATTACCATTCAGACGTTTTCTTTATGATTCAGCCTCATCAGGTCATATTCTCACCTGTGAAATACAAAGCCCTTGGAGTGTAGTGAGGCGACACGGCTGCAGCTGGTTTCCATTGTTACCAATACCCAGCTGTCCGTTACCGTTGTACCCCCAGCCGTACACCTGCACAGATTAAAAAACCACAACAGTAAATCCTCCTGGTCAGTGCAGGAAGTAAAGATAGTATAACTGTCAACGTTGGGACTTCATGTGTGTTCACCTCTCCGTTATCGATTAGAGCCATGGAGGACGTCTGTCCACACGTGATGCTGACTGTGGTCTTTCCCTGCATTGAGCCGGTCACTCTGCGGGGGTACGGCTGGTTGGCTGTGTTTCCTGAGCCCACCTGGCCACAGTTATTATAACCCCACGCGAAGACCTGGAGGGTCGGGGAGAGGCGGGTCAGAACCCGAGTTGCAGCACAAGTCAAGTTTAAGTCAACAGTCTTCAGTTTTACAATTATCACTTGATGTTTTAAATGTTTGTTTGTTTTGAATTCCAATCTGTTTAAGTGTACAAAAACTAGAGCAGACGGTGCGACCAGCGTTAAGATTTGAATTAGAAAGACTTCAACATTAAATCAGTGGAGAGGACGATCTGACCACCTGGAAAAAGCCAAGCTATTCAGAGCATGGCAGCCACCTTCCCTGCTATACACACACAGCTGCACACACACAAAAACACACACTAATTAGCTTTAATGCACATGGGTTGAGAGT